AGATTTCAAAAATCCTTTTTCTTGATTTTATTTTCTGTATGAATTTCCTGGAAAATGGAAAATTTTTCCGATAGGTACTCTCGCGCGATTAGAGCGTTGAGTGTGTACCATCTAGTGGAAACCAACGGTTTCCGATTTTTGTTTTTTTTTTGGCGTCACCCTGTATATCATTACACTATTCATAATCGAACACTGCTAACGTTGTTTTAAGGTGAGTATAAATGAAATTAAAGAAATGTTAATATTGCCATAGCTGTATAGTTATATACAGGGTGTGAATCAAGATTTCAGAAATCCTTTTGCTTGATTATACCTTCTGTGTGAATTTCCTGGAACATTTTTCCGGCAAATATTTTTACGCGCATAGGGCATTGTGCGCAGGTGCATTATCTTGTTGCAACCAACAGTTTCCGATTTTTGTTTTTTTTGTGTCACCCTGTATATTATTATACTATTCACAATCGAGCACTGACAACTTCATCTTTGTTGTTTTTAGGTAAGGATAAATTTTAATATTGCCGTAGCTGTATAGTTATATACAGGGTGTACAATTTATTGGAATCAATATTGGAAAATTTTTTCGATAGGTATTCTCGCGCGATTAGAGCGTTATGCGCGGTTGCACCATTTTGTTGAAGTTTCCAACTTTTTTTTACGCCATCCTGTATATTAGTACACTATTCATAATCGAATACTGTTGAATTGCGCAAGTCTTCCCCAATTTAACCATCTTCTATGGTTTCCGAGATCGACATTTTTATCTTATATAATTTTGTTTCATTTGCAGACTCGTCGACTGGTCAGTTCCGCATCAAACAAAATTAAAGTACACGCAAATTTTTAACACGACCGATAGATCGCGCAGTGGCTACTTGTCGGGCGTACAAGCTAGAAACGTGATGGTGCACACGAAGTTGTCCCAAAACATACTTGCTCAAATATGGTAACCGAAAACAATCTGATTTTTACAAGCTAAAGATCCGCTTGTAGGGCCTTGTCCGATATGGACTCGGACGGACGTTTGGGCTGCGAGGAATTCGTCCTGGCGATGCACCTCTGCGAGCAGGCGCTGCAAGGCGTACAGCCTCCCGTTACACTACCCCCCGACCTGATCCCGCCCTCGTTCAGACGGGGCGCGAGGACAAACTCCGTTTCGAGCCAGGGCAGCGGTCACGTGGAGCAGGATCCCGCGTCGACGCTACCGACGAGTATGGCGAAGGTGACACGAACGTAGGTAGGTTTTCACGGGCGGTTTTTTTT